CCTGCGTTGTATAAATGTAGGGTTTAAAAGAATGTGTAAAATGGGAGTGGTTGTGAGAAACGTTTTAAGAAGTTTCGTTTTGTTTTTTTAAAAAGCAGGATGACTTGGCAGAGGGAAAATAGTATGTTAGGAAACACTGCAAAATAATAGGATATTCCCAACAAAAAGACACTGCACTTGCAAAAATAACTTTAAAAGCTCTCACTAGTGCATTACCAATGTTAAATAAGTAAATCTGGCAACACCCTAGTGAGAGTTATTAGATGCACTAGAAAGATTGCTGAAGTAGCTGTGCTTAAGGGAGAAGTGCTCAGAGAAATCTGGCCCTGCGAGAGCTGGGCGGATCGCGTGGAGGATGATCTGTGCCTTTCACTGTGGCAGGGTCTGCCGTGGACACCCCGGCATCTTCACGTCCCTCAATGGCGCTGCTACCATGTAGTGGCTCCAAGAGCCGCCAGCTAGTTAATTTATCTATCTGCTCTTTCAGCGAGACGGCTCCAAGCCCACAGCTGATACAAGGCTGCCTCTGTATCTCTTCAGCCCAGCCCAACACAAAGCGGGCACAGCTCAGGAGCTGAGCAGGTTTTATAAGCAAAACCCAGCTTGCTGTTGCTTTGGAACTCGTTAATTCACGTTGGGGTGTTCAGCGCGTGTGCCCCCGGCGCCCTGCCAGCTGCCCCTTCTCCTCAGGGAGTTTGGGAACAGGCGGTGGGTTACGGTCCTGACTTCCCTGCTTGCCAAATGGTTTTGTGCCTGGATGAGAGAGGGGGAGAGGAGTGATGCCGACTTCAGACAGGTGTGTGTGTGTGTCTGTGTTGCCACAGGAGTTCATCTTTCCCTCTTCTAAAGGTACAGATATCACGCACGTGGTAGCCGAGCCGCAGGTGGCCCAGTACAAGCCAGTGGGTCTGGCAGAGCAACTGGGCAAGGGCTGAGGCATCGTGCCCTCTGTGGCACTGAAACACATGTGCCTACCCAGACACTGCCAACCGGTGTTTGGGGGACCATGGAGGGTGACTGAGAGAAGGGAGGAAGACTGGTGTTGCAGGAGAGGTTCAGCTAAAGAATTCTGGAGCTAATCGGTGTCTCTTACATTTTCCTGTTCCTGAAACTTGCTTTTTATAACCTCTGGACATGCTGCAGGAGCTGTCCTGAGTCAGTTATGCTCAGCACCCCGAAATACGCTTCTTCCTTACCTCTGCTAAGTAACTGTGTTATTGTGTTTGGACAAATAAAACTTGATTTTGCTCAGCATCTCATTTTCTATGCCAGAATTTCTTATGCATAGCTGTTACCCTTGTTTGGTATCATATGTATGGAGATGCTAAATGCTTTCTGCGGTATAAATATGCCTTCCACAGCATGAATTAGTACGCCAATTCAAGTGGCATTAAAATGAAAAGCTGTTTTGAACATCTACATGCATTTGAAAATGACTATGATAAAAATAATTTTGTACAAATTGCTCAGAGGATCGCAACTGTGATTAAGGAGAGGCTTTCCCTGGCACAGTGGGTCCTAGTGACTGAGCCTGTAGCCTGGGACAGGGGCTGTCACACCACGGTACAAGTGGCCGTAATGGTCTGCTGCTGTTGCAGGCTGGTCTGTGAATGCTGGCTTTGCACAGCTGAACAGCTCAGGTCTGTTATGTCTCCTCTGCATTTCATGTCCAGAAGTATTGCTCAATCGTTTGTCTCAGTGATGCAGCAGAAATGGGGTAAATACTGTTGATTAGTACTTATCCAGTAATAATTTATCCCAGCCTTAGAAGTGTTTGCAAAGAAATGACAGATACTGCCGAATTTCAGATGGTCAACAGCTGTTCCTCCTCCCAAGCAGACAATAAGTCAGAAAACATACTTTTTACTTGCAGATATCAACCCATGCCTTTAATGCCTGGGAATGGTGAGCGGGACACTGTAGCTGATTGCTTCAGCCAGGGTCTGGCTGCCTGGCGTGGAGAAAGGAGGGAGGACAGGACACAGTCAGTCTCAAGAGGCAGCCCAAATCCATGTCAGGTATTGCAGGTCGTAACTACCATGAAATCCACCTGGGCACTGGGTCAGAGTCTGTGCTAAATTTAATCACCTTTATGGTGCTAGGTGTAGGAATTACTTGGTCAAAATCAATAATATTATGCAGGCAGTTGGAGTAGCAAAGTGTTTCTCTTCCTTTGCAAACTGGTGATCTTAATATTGAAATAACATTTTTGGATTCCTGTGTTGGCTGCTTATGTGGAACACATGGGTGTGGGATGGGGGGGGTCTGTGTATCTGTGATTTTGTAACAGAAAATCCTTGTGCTCAGAGGAGAGCAGTATGAGGGCAGAGTGTGAGTGGGGTTTTCTTCACGTTAGATGACAGTAGGTTTTCCACTGCTTCTTAATCATGTTTGATTACCCTCTACTTTTTGTAAGAAATAGGACTAGGATAACATAATGTTCTGTATTGGCTACACCATGACTGGAGTCATGAAGCCAATTTTAAATATGATATGGATGTTGCCAGGAATAGAAACCTCTCCTAGGAAATGAATGCCACTCCTCATCAGAGTCTATCCAGAAGATATACCGTGATTGTTTCACAATAGCATAACTGGAATCACCACAGCTTAGACTCACGCATTCAGAAACTATTCACCTAGAAATGTATGTATGTAACAAGGAAAGTTTTAGGGGACAGTTCCTCTACAGCTGCCAGATATAATGAGAAATGTTAATGTGAAAGTGAGTTTATCAGTCAGCTACAGAGTTGTGTGCTTTTTTTTGAGGGTTGGATTATTATAGTTCAGAAATGTCAGTTCTAGACCAGTCATAGTTAGAGAAGGACACAGCTATCTAGCAATCCACAGGGAATAACATTACTCCTTTAGCTGGCTTCATCCTTAGGACTCTCGTGATGTAAGTCAATGATTTTAGCTTTAATTATATATCCTGTCATATTTTTTATATTTGACAGAGGGAGTAGCTGCCCCATGCCACACCACCCTCACTAAATCCAGTACATCCTGTTCTATTCTTTAATCTTTTCAAGGTGAGGTCACACTTTTTAAAACTGCCCTCTAGCTCTGAGAATTACAGCTTTGGATTCTGCCCCGTCTGACATCTCTCACTGGGGGAGGAATTCTCTCTTCCATGCAAATGCAGCTGCGCTTGTCTGCACATGGAGGTCTGACCAGTCCTCCGCTCCAGTAACCCCTGTGGGTAGCGCAGTAGCTGCTCCATAGGTGCAGTTCTCTCATGCTGTTGAGAGACCTGTTGAGCATAAAGCCTGCTGAAGGCTGGGAAGCAACAATTTAGACTGTTTCTGTTGCCAGACATCAGTGTTGTGAACACTAACATCTTGTTTCCTCTGGTCTAATGTGGAAGAAAATGCACTGGGAGCTACAGGAGAGGACATCTACTATTGCATGAATCGTTTTACCTCATGAACAGGAACGTCGTCAGAATGGTAGGAAGCTTTCTGCCAGTGGGCAGAAGAAGGATGGCTTTCCCTTGTAAAGATAAGGAAGACATTCTTCACTATGAGAATGATGAGGCACTGGAACAGGTTTCCCAGAGAAATTGTGGATGCCTCATCCCTGGAACTGTTCAAGAACAGGTTGGGTGGAGCTTTGAGCAACCTCGTGTAGTGCAAGGTGTCCATGCCCATGGCAGAGGGTTTGGAACTAGATGATCTTTAAGGCCCCTTCCAACCCAAACCATTCTATGACTCTATGACTCTATGATTCTATGACTAAGCTGCTGAGGGTTAAAGTGGTTACAAAACACCACGAGTCCAGCTTCGCCAAGAGCCATGCTCTGTCTCTCGCACCAAGCTCTTTCTTCCATGTGAATCATTTCATTGAAACTGAGGGTACTGCTATGGAACTGAATTCTGCGCAACAAACTTGGGTTCAGTAATTAAGCCTCAAACTTTGTGCTGCAAAAATATTTCAGTGGTGAATAACAAAGAGAAAGAACATTTTAATTTACAGAAGACACTGGCTGCTTGGCTGGCAGTAGTTGTAGGATGTGATCCAAAACCATTTACTGTCAATGGCTATCTTTCTGTTCACTTCAGCCAAGCTGACCTAGGAGGGCCTTTGTTATGATTCACCCTTATTAGTCAAGTTTAGTACGGCAATGCCAAAGGGCGAGCGTAGGATGGCTCCCCTCCATTGTACAGGCACAAAGGAGGCCATCTGGGTAGCAGCAAGCTTGTGCTCTAAACAGAGAAGACATAAGAGCACATCAACAGAGCAACCAACCATCATACCCTCCCATTGATTGGGAAGGGACAAGAGAGAGGGAGGGGGAAATTAAAAGCTTGGGGCCTGATCTGGAATAAAAGAAGTAGCAAAAGAAGAAATCCATCAGTGTTGCTATTCTCATGTGGTGGCTTGTGAGGGGTTTGTCTTGGCAGTTCCCGGCTAATTCCTGTTGCCTGTGTATCCAGAGGTTATTCAGAGAACCTCTCCATGGTCTCAACAGAACAAGTTAACTGAGGGCCTAAGCATCTGATCCTGATCTCACCAGCTTTAAAAGGTTTATATACCTCTAAATTAAGCATGTGCTGAAGTGATCTGCTAGTCTGGTGTCAGGTGCTCAGTACATGAGCCTGGAAGGGCATAGGGAGAGTTTTGTACTGACTAGGCTCTGGGAAGAAGCAGAAAGTGTTTGTGATTGGTGTAGCCAATCTGGAATACATCACAAACACTAGAATAATCTCATTTGAAAGCTTTGCATTAAATCTGTTTACTGTAGTCGAGCTTCCCACAGTTCCCCACCTTCTTTTTGTTTCCTGGTATATTTTCATTTGGGAAAGCTGCAGTGTGAATGTGTTCTCTGTGCTCAACTGAATCGCAATACTGCTACATTTTTTTGGTATTATTATTAAAAAGGAAGCCACAACATCACTAGCTTTTCTCCCTTGCTCCTTTAGATTGCCTTGAATGCATTCCTGTTTAGGTTTTAACCAAAACCTACTTATTTTCCTGTTTCTTATCCTTTCAGCTTCTTCGAATGCAATGACTCAGCAGCTACAGGATGAATTTGACAGTAGCGTGGAGAATGCAGAAGCTTGGATGAAGGCCATCCAAGAGAGACTGAGGATCAATGACAACACCAAGGGACCTCGATCTGCCCTAGAAGCCAGACTGAGAGAGACTGAGGTAAGGGAAAAGTGATGCAGTAGTTCAGAGGTGGCTATCACTGCTGCCGTTGTTACAGCAGTTATGGCTGTGAGCTCTGGAGTTTTCCATTAGGAAACTGTCAGCTGCCCCTGCTTGCTGGAATACTGGTCCTGTGTGGATGGGTTTACATCAGTGTTCTTTCTAATTTTTCCATCTGCAAAGTGTTAACAGACATTGTAGGAAAAGAGGATGGCAATTTGATCTCACAGGCTTCCAAGCTTTTCAGATTGATTTGGAAAACTAGCAGCAGGTTTGTCAAGTTGAGATGTTTACACTCTCCTATGAGCATGCTCAAACCTGAAACAATTGAGTCGCTGCTTGCAATTACCAGATAGTGATTTGCAGAAGTCCAGCATATAGTATGAGAGAATCAGATTACATTAGTGTTCCATCTCCTCCAGGACTCCAGCCCTGAGAGAGAAGATTGCAGTGTCCTCATAATGGGCTGTTCTAGAGTAATCCCTTTGTCCTTTTCCATAAACTCTGATGATAAGAGGGTTTACAGCTCCCCTTTATAATCTGTCTACTGAAAAGGGGAATGTTTTCATTTTTTTCTGGTCTTAATCTCTTGTATCACTCTTCTCACAGAGATCCCGTTGCAGATTGTGCCTGCTCTCTTACTGTGATTTCACATTCATTAACTTCAGATTCATTAGATGTTATCTTGTTCTGGTAATCTCAGAGAATGAAACACTCCTGTTTGTCCCATCTCTACCGTTCATGATTAGAGGGAGTGGTGGTATTTCTGTGATTAACACTGAAACTATTTTTATACTCATATTACCTTTAATTCCAACTAGTCTGTTCTTTAAATTAAATGGCTAAATCTTTCCCATCATTATTTACCCAAAAGTCTTTCTTTTTGTGTGTCTACTCATGTTTGGACTGCTTCTCCTGAAGTTGAACAACTCCAAAAAAACATTGCAGGCTTACATGGAGGACAAGGTTGTTTACAAGATGGTACAGCCGTGTCTTCAGTCTTTTTCCTTAACTGTAGCTCATCGGAGGCTGGATCTTGCCATCTGGAGTGATGGATGATGGCTAGACTTGCATGTCAGTCATGAAAATCTGAAGTATTTCCTCTCGGTCTATAGATTTATTTCTGCCTTTAAATTATTTTCACCCTTTCCTTTTGTCTGGGAAACTGTGATATGTACAGTCTAAAAAAACATGCAAGAAATACAGGAACTTGAGTAAGGAGAGTGGTAGTTTGGCAAAGGGGGTGCATTCATGGCAGAGATATCAAGACGTAAGGTTTAGAGGTTTGTGGTGATTTAATATGGCCTGAACTGAAGCCTGTTGACTTCTGTGGGCTTTGGAGGAGATCTATAACATGCAAAAAATCATGCTAGAAGATTTTTTCAATTCAGACTTTGGAAATTCATCATTGTAAAGAATAACAAGTATCTGTTCTCTCTTCCTGTGTGTACCTAATCTGCCTCCTACTCCCTCATCCTGCCTTCTTTCTGGGCCTGGCTTCCCTGTCCAGCTCACATGTCCTCATGATGTGCTGGCTGCTTCACCTATTGGCTGTTTTCAAATCCAGTGATCATTTTTCAGTTCCTTTTTTGCATCTGGCTTGCTTTTTTTTTTTTCATGCTTCCTTCCTGTGGTTTATTTTCTGTTAATTTGTTAATGAAAATGCCAGCCAAAGATAGCAATCATTTAAAAAACAGATCTGAAAAAGAAAAATGCCTGTACAGCCACTGCTTTCTCTCCAGCTGTTGTTTGCTTTCACTTGCTGGAAAAATGTCAGGCTTAAAATACAGCGTTACTCTTGATTTTTTTGTTGGGTGATAGCTATGACTTCTATTTGCTTTCTCTGCCCTACCCTTTGCCCTGCTTTCCTGGATTCTTTTAATCACACTTTTCATAGTAGATGGTTCGTCCAAACACCTGTTTGTATGTCACACGCAGATGTGCCATGTACATGCCAAAAGAACAATCTTTTCCCAGAATGTGTGACTGGAAATCCAAAGGCCTGTGATTTGGTCTCACCTTTGCAATAACTGACGTGATGTTTTTGAACAAATCCCATAGGTCTAATCTTTCCAAAAGTAATTGCTGATTTTGAACCTCTCAGTGTTTTCATTGTAGAAGCCTTTTCCTTCAGACTTAAAAGCCTGCAGTTTGCCAGGAGTTTGTGGAAGAACAGCAAGAAAAGCTAATGTAACGGTATCAGAAGTTTGCGTAAAGTGATGCTGAAAGCTGACATCCAAATTGGAACATAATTAATATGTTACATTGTACAGCACTTGTGCTGATTTTCCACCTCTGGGTAGAGGAAGAGAGTCTACTTAAAATTACATGGCTTAACTTTCAGTTCCTGGCATTCCAATTTGTGCAAGATACACGTTTTCACCAATTCGTAACTTAGCAATTTAGGGTGAAAGCAAAATTTGGTAGCAGGCAGAAAATTCCACTAGTTAATTTCTCCTGGCATGATTTCTGAGCCAACTTTTATTTGCAGTAGGAAGCCTTTTTAATCTGCTTCATGATTTCTTGTAGTAGAGCTTAAAACTGAGATGTTGCAGTGTACTCTGTGGGGTTTGCCTCTATGCTCTTTGGCAGGTGGGGGATAACAACTGGCATGTAGCAACATAGTGCTATAACTTTATAACAGCAGTGGAAACACAGCCAAAGATATCTGATAGAAGATGATCTGGTTTTTACAGCTAATTTAAATGTTTTTCAACTGCTATGTGGTTTTCAACTAAATTCAGTCCTTTAGGATGTTTAAGAATAAACAAGTCTGAAGAAAAGTTAATATTTTCCTTTCAGGAGAAGCTTTGCAGCAGGGACTTCATGATTCCTGGATAAAAACAAAGTTTAAATTTCATCAATTATACTTGCTTTCTTTTCATGCTTTCAGTCTCATTTGTTTTTCTCATAGAAAATACGTGCGCTGGAACCAGAAGGCAGCTTGAAAATGGACTCGATTCTTGTGAAGGCAGATGCTGCTCTTCGCAGCATCGATGAGGATAAGAAGCATGAGGTACTATCTAAACTGAAAGACATTAAAGCCTTGTGGGAAGAGACAGCCATATACATCACTCACTGTCACAGGTAAGACAAATGTACTCTTTGCACAAGGCTGCTATTTGGTGTGTTGAGGCAGTTGTCTCATACAGGGCTTCCATAAAGTGCTTCCTGCCTCTCTCTGCTGCCTGGATTGTAGATAGCAATCACTGCTAATCCCAGTCCCATGAGCATGTCAGGGACTGTGTGGGGAGAGAGGGCTGGTGGGACCTCAGTGCTCTCTGCCTTTACAGTCCAGCCCACCTCATGGTCTGGAATGATGAGTTTGGCCAGGCACAGGGACAGTGTACAGAATATTTTCTCCCCAAAGCAGCAAGGACCTGGGAAGTGAATCTGGACCCTCTGAAGCCAGAGCATCTTAAAATTGTTGAGAACTTTGTCCTTTGCTTTGAAGGCCTTCTAAGATTGCCAGTCACCACTACTCCCATCATAATTTCATCTAACGCATCTCTCTTGCTCTCCCCAACAGCCGTATTGAGTGGGTCTGGCTGCACTGGAGTGAGTACCTGAAAGCCCAAGATGAGTTTTACGCATGGATTCACAACATGAGGGTGACCTTGGAGCCTGACATTGAGTTGCAGCTTGGCTTAAAGGAGAAGCAGTGGCAGCTGAGCCATGCTCAGGTTCTGCTGAATGATGTCTTAAATCAGTCAGTCCTGCTGGAAAGGCTGCTAGAGGAAGCTTAGCAGGATAGGTGACCCCAGCGTTGATGAGGATGTTCAGAAGAAAATGAGGGTGGAATATGAAGGAATCAGGGAAGAAGCTCAGGTACACCTATGAAGAGTGGGAGGTATTCAGATTTCACCAATATACAGTATTGTTTGCTATCTGCTTCTTGAGTGATGGGTCTTACCTGGTAGGACTGCAAAAAGAAGCAGAGCTGAGGACCCCTGTTCTTTCAGTCAGTGGACTGTTTGCAACAGTCATCGCATCCCGAGATAAGCTGCTAACTGGTATGCTTACACTGTGTTTTATGGTATGTTGTTGTAAAGTAACTGCAAGCTGCTTGCTGCAACCTAGTGAATATTGGTTTAGGCCATCTCCGTATAAAGTTTGAATTGTTCCTCATCTTTCAGGACATTAGTGATCCTTGTGTAACCAGATGCAAAGTACCCATTCCCGGAGCCAGGGAATATTGCATGCATGCTCCCCTGTTGGAGGAAGTAGCATTTGTCCGGATCCAGAGCTGCACTCCCTGCCTGCAGCACTGGGAACCATGGAGGTGGGAGTCAGCTGTGGCCCAACACTGAGCTCAACTAGCCAGTTCCAGTATCTGAAAGATTTTCACTGCACACAGATACTAATTTTTGCCTGATGCTAATCTAGGTTGAACAGTTGTTAGATAGGCTGGTGTGAGACATCCTAGTTCATCTTTCAGTGCCAGTGATTTCCTTTGACCCTATTCCTGGGTAATGATTTCAAATAAGGCTTTATACTTTATACTTTTCACTTCTAAAATTCTGGTAAAGACAGGATTGGATCATGTGGCATGGCTGTGGGGCAGACATCTGCATGTGGGCAGAAGAATTCAGCTTCTTACTAGCCTAAATCTATAGAAATACTCAAAGGGATATTGAAATATGTAGGCACATCTATCCCTAGCATATAGAGATTAAAATCTAGTCTTTGTTGCACAGTGGCTTCCAGGAATTCCATAGGCTGGAATTACCTGGTGCAAATACAAATAATTTTCATTACATTGTTTCTGCTATCTGCCTCTGTCATAATGTTGCCTTCTATTTGTTCCCACACCTACACCCCAGTCCAGAACTGGAGCCTGATAGTGATTTATGCTCTCCCTCCCTGGGTGCTGTCGTACAAAGTTAACTTCAGATCACACTGTAAGAAAAACAACACTGGAGTGCTCATGCCATTGCTCTGCTTGCTCTACAGATACCTTTTCTGTTAAAAAAAACCCAAACCACCCTGAGCCTCAAAACAATGAAGAAACCTCCAAGCTGGCACCTTTCATGAGCATGAAATTCAGATATTTTTTAGCCATAAACTACTGCCAATAAGTATCTCCAAAAACCAGCGTATATTTGGAAATTCTGTAACTGCAGCTGCCACAGAGAGGCTGTAAAGAGACCAACAGACTTGAGCCTCAATACTGATTATTTGTGTTTCAAGGTAGATATCTTCATTACAAGGCAGTTGGCTTTACAAATAAGGAGGGTCCTGGGAATTCAGGTGTTGTCTATCTAGATTGCCATTTAAAATTCTCATTTAATCCCTTCTAACCAAGATTTGTCTTTGGTTTTGAAGCAGGAGACAGTCATTAGGTATTTTAATAAGGCAGTTCTTTCAAACAAGTCATTTGAATACTCAAAGCCAGAATGTGACCTCTCTGAGACTGGTTTTACATAGTGTAATTTCTTTAACTGACTTGGATACATGCTGGTGTAAATGAGATCAGGAAGTGGCTCATAGTACTTAGACAAAATAAGTCTTTATATCTCCAGCCAACTGAGACACTAGAAAAAGCTTTTCTTTGGCATTGGTTACAAATACCACATTTCATAGAAGGATGGAGTGAGAGAATCCAGCTAAGAAATTCTTCTTTCAGGAGGTATGGAACAAAGAAGGGAGTTGGGAAGCCTTGGATTTTGCAACTGAAGTAAATGCAGTGTTCATTAGCTAATGCCAAGGTTACAGGCACCTTGGGAATTGTGTTGGAAAGTATAACAGTATTTAGAGAAACCCTTCCACCTCTTCCAAAAGGAGGGAGGAATGAATGAAAGAGACGCAGGAGTTGTAAGGGGATTGCTCTGGCCCCTCACATGATGAGAGGCCAGGCTAAATGTGACTTGCAGTTGTCAGCTGAATGCCTGAGCTGCCTCCCAGAGGAGGCTTGCTGGTGTTTGTAGATTACACTTGTGTTTGAAGAGCATTTTTAGATACCGTGCAGTTGTCCAGCTCTTTCAGAAGGCAAGCTCTTGGACAGTGTTTCTAAAATGGTTTGCCTGTCTCTGGTATGAGCAGTTGGTGGGCTTTTTTTTTTTTTCTTTCTTAGTGCTAATATGTGTCCTTATCATTCCCAAATTTTAAAAAGCACATAATTTTCTTTTAATTACATTGACAGGTATATTTTTAGATGTGGCAGCCATTTCCTACGTGCTTGCCTAGTAAAATAACAATATGCAGAGGTATATGGTTGTGGGTTTTAGCATAAATGATGACTGAAGATGGTAACAAAACTTACGATATACAGTTTGTTGATATGTAGTCAAATATATCAAATATGTCTAAGCACATCAAATTAATTTCAGTCTATGTTGTCTCTGTTAACTGAAACACAGATATTTCTAATTTCAACACTCACATACCATAGAGCTAGACTAAAAGCACCAGGAAGGGCTACAGAAGCTTGCTGTACTTTATTTGAGATCCCACAGAGGGATTTAAAGCTGGAACTTTCTTTATGTGCTCTAGATCACCCTCCAGAGGAGACTCGTTTGCCTTTGCTGACTGTGAAGGGAGCTTAGGGGAGGAGAGGTTTCCTATGCCTCTGTCCATCCTCCTTGAGAACCCGGGGCTGGGCATATCCTGCCCAGACACATCTTTGCTGCAGCCCAAGGCAAAACCCATTCTCCAGGGCCATGTCCTTGCTTAATGTCTCCTCACGTCAACCACATGCATGTGGAGATTGAGTTTAACACTGTCCTGCCCCCTGAACAGCTAACCTAACAGAAGCAAGTGATACCATATTTTCCATCATTAGAAAGTTTCCCTGCCTAACCTCTTGGGGGAGGGGGGTGTCTTGGCCAGCTCTTTGTAAGACTTTTGTTTGACAGCTAGCACAGTCTGTCCAGATCCATGGCATCTCTTTCTTGACCTCACGGGCCAGCGGGAGTATGCAAACTGTGCGCTCCTTTGTTTTTGCTGAATAGCCTGGCCAGAGGTGGGTCATTCAACTTCCTTTATAACCCTCTATATATTAGCGTAAGACTTTTGAGTTTAATAATAGCTCCACTTTGTTACTCTGACTTGCTCCCTTTGGAGCTTGTCAGTGCAACAAGTTAGCCTAATTCCTTGGAATCAATAAGCTTGGGCTGACTTGTTTCACTTCCATATTTGGCCCATTTACACCACTATAAGATTGCATTCTTCAAGTCCCTAACTTGAGGTCAAAGTGAGAATCATATAACCTCTGCAGATTTGAGAATCAAGGCAAGGGGATTTAGCAAAGAAGTGAGGTGCTCTGCTGGATACAGTTAGAATTCAGCTTTTTGGTCTCCTCCAAACCCATGCTTGCATAGGTGGTGCTGTTAAAGGTCCTGCCCCAGTAAGTAGGCAGCATTTCATCCTCCATGGGAAGCACCTGGCCCTTAGCTGTCCCTCTTTTATCCCAAAGCAAGTAAACTAACTTTAGGGGAGCCACTTTTGCACAAGTCAGCAGAGACTGCAGTGGTGGTGTGGAAGACAGACTGGTGTGGTGCCACCTGGAGGGTGGTGGCTTTGTACTGCACCGTGGGCATAAGCTGTCCCAAAGGTGAAGGGCGAAGTGCCAGCGGGACCACCACCCAACAGCACACGGGAGATCCCCTGGTGACTGATGCTCATGCCACTCTCTGCTGGCCTGGCTGGAGAAAGGCTGACAGGACTGAGATGGCCCACTGCCACCTCAGGCAGGTTGACAGGTGTGGGGACATGCCCAGAGCTTCACAGAGACAAGGGAAACGCAGAGGGCATTGAAACTCTGCCCACCATTGCATCTATCACCCTACTCTCTGTGGAGGGCAGCTGGGATGAAGCTCTGCTCAGAGGCATGGGGTGTGTCCCATATTACGCAAAATGAAACTCAGCCCGTTGCCTGTGACAGCAAAGCCTTTCAAGGGTGCTGCAAGCACTAAATGGACTGTACACAGAACAATTCATTTCTAATGTAGCTATAGTGTACCTCAATTGCTCTCCATGCCAACTGGTGAAGAGCACAAAAAATCAGTCTGATTTTGTAGGAAATAATACTTAGGTGGGATATTACACCGGTGAAACAACACATTCCTCGTGATTTGTGTGAAGTTTCCTTTAGCAAGGCCTAAACTTCAGCTGACAAACAAAGATAGTCTGAGCAAGTGTGACTCTGCCTTGTTGTGATGGGTGCCAGACTGGATCAGCGGGGAGCAACTGAATGGTCTGTGATAGCCCCACAGGATAGTTAGTGATGTGCTAATTGAATAAGTGTGAAAGTTCCTCGTCTACATGATTGAAGGTGATGGTCACTTTCCATACAGCCTGCTTAAATAATGAACACTTTAAAACAATTTGCATGCCCCTAGCACAGTCTCTCTTATTCTCATTTTGAGAGATAGGCAAAATCAATCTGTTTTGTGCTTATCTTTATTTTTAACCAGCATGGGGAACATAACAGCTTGTCTCCCAAAGACTTCTGTCTCTTCTTTTTCTAATGAGAGAATAGGAAGTTTTGGAAAGGAGAGGCTAGAAAGTCACCTGAGAGGACCTTGCAGTTTGTCTCCTTGGAGAGTAGCCATTGACAGCCTAAAGCATGACCCAGATGGGGACAAGCCTTTATGTACTTTTGTGTTCTGTTTCTTGAGGTGAACTGGACTTCACCTCTACCTCACCAGTGGAGGCCAAGTGCTGTTGAGGCTCACAGAAAGGGACTCTTGTTTATACATTCTGGGTTACAGTAGAAACGAAAAAGAGCCAGATAAGCACTCTCCTCACAGCTTCTGATGTCTCTTGTTACAGAGCAGAGTGAAACTGCTTGAAAAGATAACCAGGGAACATGAACAGTACAGCGCTAACGTCAACCAGTTTCAATCGTGGCTGAATGCTGTGACAGAAAGATTAAACTGCTGCATTGGAGAAGCAACCAAGTCTTCGGCAGAGGACAAGTTAAAGACATTGAAGGTCCTTAAACTATATAATTCTAACAAGGAGCTAGGATTGTTCATTCTTCATGCCTGTATATGTTTCTCAAACCATACAAGGATGTACTTGAGAAAAGAATTACACAAACAACATAGGTGGTGACTGTAACATGGGCTAGGAGAGAAGAGTTGTATCAGGTCCTGAAACTTGTTAGCACGTACGGTTCTCCCAACTGTAGTATGAGTCACAGACTGGTCTATTTTATTTTTTTAAAGCCTAATCTCCTACGGTTATGTGACTCTTTGAGAACCTTGCCCTTTAAACTTGTTTAAATGAATTATACTTGGTAAACATGATCCAAATAGAGCCTGAAGGCTCACAGATTTCGAGAGTTTAGAGCTGGTGATAAAAATACCAGTTTTGAGAACAGTGTCCAATATTTTGGTGCTTAAACTGTTTAGCTTTAAATATCTCAGAGGTATGACTGTTAGTATTTCTTCGTGCCTGCAGTTCCTGTTTTCTTTGTCAGGGACCCCAGGTGACAAGCATTTATGAAAATCAAGCCAATATTTTCAGAATCATGGCAGTTAGCATTACTCAGAAGGCAGTCAAATGACCAACTGTGGCTTCTGGTCACTTGAAAAAAGATGTGCTTTGAAATAAGAAGTGAAGAACAAAATATGTACAACCAGGAAAAGTGATCTTTTTTTCTTACTGCTTCCAGCTTTTTCCCCAACCTCCCATTCCTGCAGCTAATCTTTATTTAACTTCTTTCTGCAGGAAATTGCCAAAAACATTAGGAGCGGTGGAAAGAAATGGAAGCACCTTGAAACTCAATGTGCAGAGGTGATTCAGAATACCTCCCCACTCGGAGCTGAGAGAATGAAGGATGAACTTGAAGAGCTAAGAAAAGCTTTGGAGAAGTTGAAACTGCTGGGTAGTGAGGAGGAGGAGAGATTGCTCAAGATCCAACAGTCAGAAAGTGCCTATGAGTCCCAAGCCAGACAATTAGAAGCAGACATCCAGGAGCTGAGAAAAGATCTACAAAGACTAGAAAATGACTTGGACCCTGGGGAAGGGGAAAAGACTGAAGATGAGTTTGTAACTCTGTGGAGAAAATGCAATGTAAGTTGTTACCCTTTGTATGCCTAAAACCAGCGGCATCAAGTGCAGTCATAGATTGAACACACATAGTCACACCCGACAGGTACCTGTCCCACTGGTTAAAGGTGATAAGGAAAGAGTATGAGTGTGTATGAAACAGACTGAGGAAAATGTGAATAGCAACAATGGAATCAAGTAGTCTAACCTTTATCTCACTCTGCACAGAGGGAGCAGGGTTGGAAGATGTGTTGGAGCTTGTGTCTTGAGTTCAAAGAGACCATATGCAAAAAGAGCACAATACAGAGTAAACGACACAATTTGTTCTACTTAAAAAGAAGCAGGAAAATAATGCCTCACTGTATATACAAATACATACATACATACACACACAAACTATTTCTGTATTATAGCTTTCACCTGTATTCCTTTACTGGCAGAGACATCTTTATTCCTAAGAAGTACCAACTTTGTAGCGATCCAGTATTTATACCAAAATCAATCTGTTGAAAAAGTGGATGCAAAACGTTTGTCACACATAAAACAGATAAGAATCTTTACCACTGATTTCCTCTTGAGGGCTGGTTTTGCATTTATTATCTCTTCTCAAAGTGCCTTTCATTGCTATCTGTATGTCTAGAACTCAGCGGGACTAGCTGGGAAAAGTATATGCAAAAATGATCCACAAAATACAGACTGGCTCAATCCAGCTACATTTGCATGGTTTTTATTGATTTTGTTTCCCTATGTCACTCTAGAATTAACATTCTATGTGAGTCTTTGAGAAAGATCTGTTCATGCAAACAGACATAGTTAAGACTGCTCAAAAAATGTATCTCATCTTATATACCTCAATCAGTGAACTGAAACTGAGCCTGTTTTGTGATTCACTGGGTTCAAACAGGGAACCCTGCAGATCGGATGCAGAGGGTAGGCAGTGTGAGGAGAGGGAGCCTGCAGGAACCAAACTGTTCCTGAGAATGTTTTCTGCCTTAACAAAGCCCATGTTCCTTACAACCAGGAAAAAAGGCAGCAGAAAGGGGACTTATTCATAAGAGAGACAGCCTTCTCTCTTCATTTCATATGCCAGATGCTACATAAGGTGTGATCTGTTCATTATTTTTATGATTAAGGCAACGAGAGCAGCTCTGGCTGCAGAAGAATCCAAGGTTGAGAGGCTGAAGGCTCAGCTTAAGGAACTGCTACGGTTTTCCCAAGATGTGCAGCCACACGCTGAGAGTGTTGTCTCTGCAATACAGCAGTATCAAAGGTAGTGGGAAGTCTGATTATGCTGGGGGAGTGGGGGGTATCTTCTCTCTGACATGGAAGGGATTAAGGGCCTAAGAAAAAAGTGATATACTACGGTCCAATTGTAGGTGACAGGTAGAAAAGAAAGGCTTTTGCTAATTACATATGCCTCCACATTTCAGTAAATCTGTAATTTTAGCCATTTCCTAGGAGCTGTAGGCTGCTGGTCATTTTCAGGCAATGATCTTGCATCATTAATGTTGTGCATGGTTTGAAGAAAATTAGATTGTTGGCAGCTAATTTGATCTTCTTAGCATTTTATAATAATAATTTAGTATTTTGCTTGCCTTTCATGACAGCAACTAGAAAATCAGGACAGGAGCTGTAATAGTAAACGGTTCAGAAGAATTATGGCCCTCCCTTGTTGAGTTTGTTGTGGTGACTCATCAGCCTTAGCAATTACTTGGCAGAGTTTATTCCCCTTCTCCTGGCAGCATGTATGCATGATTCCTGTTTTCAACTCGCCTTGGGTTGGAAACTCTGAAAGTTTAGCCTCTCCCCAGACTTCAGTGTTTCCGTTTCCAGGCTGCCTGGGATCAGGAAGTAAAGAAGCTGCAGCAAATTTTGCAAACTAGAAGAAAGGATCTTTTTTTTAAGGAAAAAGAAAGGTCAGTTTTTCTTACTGTATCCAAGCTTATCTTCCTCTGTCCAGTGCACAGTATGCTGTCCTGCTGGAAGGTTTATAGGTCATTATGGGAAAGGATTTCAGTTTAAAAACTAACAAACGATGTCGAAAGAGAAGCAGCGAAGGCAGGGGACTTGCCTCTGAGTAGAAAATGGCAGCTGCTCTTTTGCCAGCTTCTCTCCAAAGCTTCTTTGCAAAGCCTGGCAGCTTCGTGCTGAGTCTGGCAGGGGCAGCAGAGCAAATGGCAAAGGACATGTAATGTCAGAACTTTCTATTTGTGGAGCTTTTGGCCTTGCAAGCTTGCCTTTGTTTAGCTCCTTAACATCCCAGTGACACAGGTAAGATTATTGCTTCTGTTTTTATAGAAAAACAGTATTAACCTTGGTTGGCATTGCTGGTGCCTGCCTGTTTTGCGAATTTGCAGGATGCTGTTCTGATAAGAACGTACAGTTTGGGCTGCATTTCTATCAAATAGGGTTCTGCAAACTGGGAGGTCAGGAAAGCTGAGAATAACAGGAGGCAGCTGCTTGGGGTGTGTCACTGCGAGGCCTCCTTACTCAGCTGTATTTTGGATAAGCTGTTGTAAGAGAAGCCTGGATAATTAATGAATGTGTGCTGATGCTTGTTTTTTATATAGTTTTTTATACACACGCATTTATAGTTGTGCATGTATGTGTATACATATATAAAAAAATACAAGGCTTTTGTCAGAATCACCTATGTATGTCAATATAAATATAAGTGGTTCTGAAAATTTTGAAAAAATGTATATCAGAAAAAAATATGTATTCTTTTTTTGCAGGTAACACAGAGCGATCAAAGATTTCTTAATGTAATTTTTTAAAGGAACAAAGACTCAGTAATATGTAAAACAATACAGGCAACTGCAGTTAAATTCTAAACCCTCTTGTGTTCCTCCCATCAGTCAGTGGGACTGCTCCAATAATATGATTTGTTAAATCAAGCTGTTGATAGCAGCCAAGAAAGATCACATACAAGGGGAGACTGCTGGCTGCTCGAAAGGCAAAGTAATTCCTGATACACAGTTGCACAAGAGACAAATGTGTCTTACGGCTTCTAAATAAAGTTTTGTTGGGTGTCTCTGACTGACACAGCAGCTGTCAGTATGCAACACCAGGCTCAGACAGTAAAAAAAGACTGAGGCTTTTGTGTTGGTTACGGTTTACACACGAGTATTGTGTTAATTCATGCCTTGATGAATAGGATGTTTGGACTTGGATTTCTTCATAATCCTTCTCTCGGCTCTCACTTTATCCTTGCAGTGTTAGAGGCAAGACATCTAAAATGAGCACTGACACAGAAACCCAGCTGAGAAGACTCTTCCAAAATCCCCTGCAAGATTTTGAACAGTGGAAGCCATCGGTCCAGATGCTCCTGGAGACTCCGGAGCCAGCGCTGGCTCACATTGAGGTAGCAAACCCGTTACTAAGTTCAGAAACCGATACTTGTTTTGTGTTTGCCCAAGCTATTCCAGCAGCTGCCCGCATACAGCTGCGGGACAGCAGCAGCTGGAAGGGCCTTTCCAGTACGGCAGGAAACCCCACAGCATGGAGGCAAATACTTGGCTTTAGCTGTATCAGGATGTCTTGCTTTCTGCCCTCCATTTGGTTAACTGGAGTTGTCAACTGAATAGGCTGAATTAAAGTGCTAGGTATCTTTAACAATGATGATAAGATTGTTTAGCATTAGCCCAGATCTCCCTGGACGGGAAGTCTGTGGACTCTTAAAAAGTGTGTAGTAATATGGTTGTGGGATTATAATGCACGATTTCTGCATGTGCCCAGCAAGATGTGTTTGTTAGTCATCCCTGTGATCTCCAGAATGTGTCTGTGAACAGGGATGGAGTCTATCCTCGGGATGAGCATTCAAGCTGTCCTTTCTGTTGGTTGTTTAGGCCTCTCCTCTGCACAGACAACTCTTTCCATAGTACAGCTTTCCTCTATTTCTGTTCACAAAATGGATGCAGCCCTGGTGCTTCTAACATTATCAGGAAGACTTTTCCTTTAACTGGGCACTGTCCAGGTACCTTCTGTTACCCCTTGTTGGCCCAGCATGCTGTTTTTACCTGACTTTGTCATACTGCTTTGGTTGTGTGACTTGTGTGAGAGTAATGTGGTTATATGATTTTAATTTTTTTGGTATGATTTCACTGGAAGAATTTTTCTCCTTTAGGCTGCTCTAGCTGAAAGCTCCCAGTTCAAAGAGAAGTTGATGACATTACAGCTGAAGAAGGATTTGCTAAACAATGTCCTTGGTGAGGAGAAAGCAAAGTCTTTCCTGCAAGAAGTAGCTGAAGCTTCAAAGGAGAGAGAAATTCTACACAAAGGTCTGCTGCAAAGCAAAAGCAAACTCCAGGTGAGCTTCAAAGCCCATATATGGTCTTTATCCGTGACAAAGACAATGATCAATCTTTTACCAAGACAGTTTTATAGATATAAATTGAGTACTAACCAGCTGTACCAAATCCCTTTTTCTAGGCTGATAAAATATTCAAATAAATTTGTGATCTGTTGCGTGGTGTAGCTTGGTGTTTGTTCTGAGTATGAAATTGGACATTGACAAAAGATGATGCCAAGGGGTATATGTTGAATGCTGGATCTTTTTTCTTCATCTTTCTCCATCTAGAATTTGATATCACAACATAAGGACTTTGATGCTGGTTTTGCACCTTTGCAGAAGAAATTATCTGCCATCAAAGCCAAATTAGATCTAGAGAAGGAACCGCGGCCTGACCTCTTGGGTAAAAAGACACAACTCCAGAGACTCCAGGTACATTACAGTAATGTTTGACTGTGATATCCTCAGGTAATTGTGGTCTTGTTTGTTCATATTTCATTAGCATTAGGAATTCAGTACCTTGTCCCCTCAATTGATTATGTGTTAAATAATTTTGTTTGGCCCAGTTTATAGCATGGAATAAATGAAATTGAAGCAGTGCAGCTGAAGAACTGGCAAACTGGGCTTGAGGGAAGGAACAAGCAGCTGGAAGCTGTTGGTGCCATACCTTCTTGGGCTAGTTTTATTGTTAAAGAAGGTGTATTCTGATACATCCCACTAGGAGCAAAACTGCAGAAGATAACCTGAACCAATCTAACTCCCTCCAAAAGCAGGGGGTTCCCATTGTCCCACCTCCTTCTTTATCCCCCCACCTCCTGCTCTTTACCTTGTCACTGCTTTGACACGTGCTGGATTTACTCTGTGGGTTAATTCAGCTGGCCAAGATAAGAAAACAATAATCAACAAAAAAAAATTACCATTTTCCACTTCGTTAGTGGTTTGAACTGGTTCAACAAAGGGTCCAACATGCAGTAGAGCCTGTTCAAGGCATGCAGTGGGACTACATAGCTGGGAGAGGGGAGAGAAGAGCAGGAGGGGAAGAAAGAGGGGATGTGAGACTTCCTTTTCACCATGGTGAGCTACAGTGTTTCAGCTATATGGTGCCATTTCACCCTTGGTGACCACGTGTTATCACCATAGTTCTTTGCAGTACTTAGCTTATTATACTATGTCTCCTCTGGCAGCTACTCAGTGACATTACCCATATGGAATCTGTCTTTTTGTCTGCAGATGATCCAAGATGACTTGGCAGAGCTTGCGATTCAAATGGAGGAGGTAGAGAAGCTTGTTCAGTCAAATACCACACACAGGCATGAAATGAACCAACTTTCAGCTGACGCTCAGGCCCTGAAGAGATCATTGGAGGTAACATGAGGAAGAGTTTTTAGTTGCCTGAGGAGACGTCATTTTAGTTGCCTGAGGAGTTGTCAGTTGCCACTGTTCAAAAATACAAAAAAATCTTTGAGCATATGAGATTATATGCTTTGAGTGACAAATATATTCATTTCAGGGGAAGAAGGCACTGAATTCTTAACCAGGATTCTCTGATTATCTGTAATGTGATTTCCCTTTGGGATAGGATACCATCCACACAGATTTTGTATCTATATAAATTATTTCTGGAGTGGGCCTGAGATTTCTGACTGAAAGACCTCATAGTTATATTATCATGGAAGTGCTTGGACTTCTTCACAGATTCCTGGATAGTGGTTTTGTATAAAACTGTTTGGTTTTCTATAGCTTTGTGACCTAAAAGTTAATGAGGGAGAAGTGTTGCAATTGCATAATTACTTGTTTTGACCTGAGGCATTTTGTAGCTTGTAAACATAGCTGTAAAAGGACCTTCCAAAGCAGTCTCAGAAGAAGAGCTTATAAAATTACCTTGGTTATGCAGTTCACCATAAAAAAACATATGATAAAGTGTTACCATAATATGCACTGTGGAATTCTAGTTTCAATCTCAGTAATCCCATTTATCGCTGATCTGGACTTTTGACAAAATAGTCTGCGCAGTCCTTTCTAATTCAGGGAAGTATAAGATGTATTCAGTATTGATTGAGGTATAAAAAAAACCCCCAAACATATTCTTTATTCTGTTTCAGTTGAAAAGAAAGGGAGCTATTCTAGTGCTTAATGCCCCCCCATGTGGTTGAATTCAGGCCTGCAGGAGTTTGTAGGTGCTTTCTATGCCACTGATGCTAAAGGATAAAGTTTTTTGTGTCTCATTAGGAGCTGTTTTTTCCCTTTTTGCCTATGAGATTCTGTGCCAATAGTCAGTGTTAGATCCAGTAATGAAGCTGCTTTTTTTCTGTGTTTAGCTGCTGACATATTTTTATCATTTGCAGAGGATGATACAGCAGAGTGAAGGGCATGTTCAGAAGCATTGGGCATATAATGACAAACTTTCAGACCTCCAGCAGTGGATCACAGTAACCACGGAGAAGATTGGCTCCTGCCAGGGTGCTGATGGAGAGCAGACCACCGAGGGCAGGGTGGAAGACCTTGAGGTGAGAAAAGCATCTTAGTGTAAGATGTTAATTATTCACTTTGCAGCATTCGGACATTACGGGTGGGGGTATTCTAGCGAGGGTTTCCTGGATGGGGAGAGGAATGATCGTTTGCTCCTCCTGCAATAACTGTTGGTTGCTGCTGCCTCCCTGCTTTGCCCTGTGCTGTGAGATGTGTAGCTAGTTAACAGATAAGAACAGTGAGAAATAGTTAAGAATGATTGAGACAGATAAAGTATTATCAAAGGATAGGTGATCTTAAAAAGAGCTCTTCCTGCCACAGTGATCCCTCTGGACAATACCTACTTTTGCCTATATGTACTCATCGGTACATTCAACATTATTACTCTGCCAGCTGACCTTATACTGTGTTGAACTGAGCTGTTCCACAGCTGCTAGCTTTTCCCTGCATAGCAGTATTTGGCATGCTAGATTCACTCCGGCAGGTTGCTTCATCTGGCAGCTTTTGCCTTCATATGGGAAACTAAGATAGCTCACAGGAAGGGTACAGAAGGGGTGCATTGGCAGCTTGCGCCCTTTAAGTTTTGCCATCAGCTCTTTGACCTGTGTTGGCTCTTTGCAAGAATCCACAGCATATTTTTTTTCCCGCTAGGTATGTTCTAGCTAGAGCCAACAGAACCAGCATAGTCCCGGACTGAACATGGCCTTCAGTCTGACATAGCCTCTGCTTTACCCAGGATACCTAGGAGTAACTGTAAGGGCTGTACGTTTCAGAGATGGCTAGCTGAGTTTCCAGATAAGGAGATCCAGCTACACCTTGTGGAAGCTCATGGCCAGCTGGTCATGGAGAATTCTTCCCCAGAGGAGACTGCCCATGTCCAGGCAGAGCTGGATCAGCTGAAGGAGTCATGGAGATCACTGAAGGAGATGGCAACTAGGTAAGTGCTCATGTACATCTTTCTTATGTCCCCTTTAAGGAGATGCTCTTTACTGCTATATGGCCAGGCACACTTGATGCTTTATGCTCTGTGCTGTGAAAGTGAACAGCTGTGTTACAAGGCTAGGAGCAAGATGAGATTTTATTTAATCATTTGTAAACTGGAAATCATTACTTTCAAGAAAACCATTTTAGAGAATTGGGGACCAGAGCAGTCTCTGAAGCTGCCTTTACCTCATGCTTGGAGTAGGCAGTGTCTCCTTAGGACCTGGCTCCCCATTGTACTGCCAGTCTGTATCAGAGGAAATGGGACATAGACTGGGTGACTGCTGCTCTTCTGCCACACCTTCCTGTTCTCACTGTGTGATCTGGAGATATATCGAAGGAGGCTATATCTGCACTGGGATTTGTGCCTTTTGCAAACCTGCAAGAGTGTAAACAAAGCTACAATCCTCCCTTAGCTGGCAAATATGGACTTAATTTGTTTTGCCCTCATTGTGCAGTGTCAAACTGCTGCTTATATTTGCTAGCCTGTATTAAAATGTAATACTATGCTACATGTGTGAGAATATTCATACATAGTGTCAGAATAAGTATAAAAATAGAGTGACTAATTTGAGGAAAACTTGATTGTACTGCCAGCTGTTACCAGAGTGGAAGGTGTATTGTCAAGGTAGGTTTTTGGTTTTTTTTGGTCCTTCATTCACCTGAATAAAAGAAAGCAAAACACTTGAAAATGCTAGAACTAGAGGACTGGTGCTGCTTTGAGATACTCCTGTCTTGATCTTATTTTGTTAAAAAGCTGTTGGAAATAACTTTAATAGTAATAGTGCTATTAATAGTAATAATAGTATAATTATAATAGTGCTGTTTCACCAGAGGTGTCCCCTCATGGCCCCAGTCAAAATGTGAATGTCTTATCATTAAATGTTTCACTGCACTGATGTCTCTCGTTTTGTGTTTTCAAGTCTTCTCAAAAAGTGGCAGTTAAATAGACCAGTGGCTGATAAGAAGAAAATAGCATCTGTGGACAGAAGGTGGATGTCTGGACCTGCCTTCCATCTTTTAGACATAGATCCCAACCATAAGCAGGTGAGAGGGGGACTCTGTATCTGCCTTCATATCAGCTTCACAAGAACAATTTTAATTGGCTTCATCTGATACTATGGTTACAAAGTTGGAGGTTAAGATCTTGCAATCAAGTCTTCAGAGGAAACATCTAACATAACAGTAAGGGCTTTTTTGTTCCTGTTGCTCTGTAATCTAGGAGAGGAAAGGAGAAGGGCAAAATATGAGCAGCCACTTGAAGCTTCTACACAACTTTGAAGAGTGGTTACAAGGAGAAAACACCAAACTGACCAAAATTCTTGCTGCGACTTCATCGTCCACAGAGGAAATTAAGGCACGCCAAAGCAAACTGGAGGTTAGTTGTCAGGGGGTGAAGATGGAGACAAAGATTGTAGTAAGTGCAAATTCTTTCAGAGTTAAAAACAAAACAAACAAAAAAAGCCAAGCAACGCCCCCCCAACCAACCCACAAAAAACCCCACGAAACAAACAAAAAAAAGCCACAAAACAAACAAACAAAAAACAGAACAACAACAAAAAAACACTACACTCTCTGCTTTAGGAGACTCTATAGTAGCTGGAATTTAGGACAAGTATTTCACCATTTCTACTGAGAAAGGTCTGCCAGAGCCAGAGTGGTAGAGGGAAGAGAGCAACCTGGCATCTACCTATTGGACTGGACATTTCCAGTGTGGTATGGCAAAGCTATTCGTTAAAAGCAGCTGATTAAAATCAGTGCCTGGTGTTTGGCCTCACTCTATTGAATATAGCCTGATGCAATGACAATGGATGCTGTAAGAAATTAAACAAACAGAAATATCCAAGGCTACAGGAGTCCTGCAGATAGATGAGTGGCTCTTTTATATCATTTCAGTCCAAAGAAGCGATAACAAAAATGAATGCGCTATTCCAGAGTACCGAGTAGTTTGATTTGGTAACACTGGTCTTTCGAATGCTAGATTTAAAAAGTGGGGCCTTCTTAAATTCTGAGTTGCTGCTGACCTTGTCTTTGCCTGCAGGAGCTACAGTCTCGTGTGCCTGATGGTCAGTGTCTCTTTGAGGACCTTCTTCATCTTCATCCTGTCGTTGGAAACTCTGAAGATCTGGAGGACCTGCGTTACCGATGGATGCTCTACAAATCTAAACTGAAAGAGTCCATAAGCTCAGCGGTAGGTGACAGCACTCCATTCACAGTTGTAATCTCTGCCATTGCTCTTCTAGGTTGCCTCACATTGCTAGTCATAATTCAACAGTACGTGTGTGTCGTGTGCTTAACTGAAATGTCCTTTAGTAAATGTCATCAAAGACAGAACAAACATAGCCATGTATTTATAAATACAACCACAAATATTCTTGTGTTAAAAGAAGAGTTGTGCACTATCTTCTTCCCTTTGTAAGCAATGTTCAGAATATTTCTTAAAATGGAAGGTTCAAAACAGAATGACAATTGGCTGTTGTCAAAGATGCATGTTGTTGGGGACTGTGAGATGTTTGTTGTGTGAATATTTTGGTTATACATCTAGTTCTGGCCACATGGATTTCTATCTTTTTGCCTTTTCTCCAGACAACATTCTGCATTGAATTATCTTTTTTAACAGTTCCGGCACTAAGAATGTATTTACTGTTCATTATTTGTGTCTTTTGCTGTGAGAGAGAGTGATCAGAATAGACGCTGACTGACCTGAGTCAGAAAGTAACTGTGCACAGAAGGACTTAGTCCTTTTTGAAACTGTCTTTACGGGCTAAGGATTTGGAATGAAATGGAGGTATTAATGCAAGAACCAAGCGATTAAAGAAGTTATGGAATTTTTCTGCATAAGACATGCTAAGGATGGCAGAATTCATCCCCATATATAAGATATTCCAGGGCATGCCAAAGATACTCTCACGTTCTTAGTGTAAACATACATAATTAACATTTTTCTGTCTTAACTACATACATTATGTGTTCAACTTCAAGATACCTTAATCAGCTGATTAGACTTTACAAGTGTGCATTTGGTACTTGTATGCAAGTGTTTTGGAAGGTATCTGAACTCAAATACTTAAAATTTGAGGCACCGGAAAATTTTATGCAAGGGAAACCTTGTCTTCAATTCCAAAGTTTACTTAGAATATAAAACCTTTAAAGTGCATGGAAGTTAAGCATGATCTCTAATTATAAAGAGCATATTTCTAAGAATTGTTTGCCATTGATTGTAGTGAGTTATGCTTTGTTGATCAAAACCTTGTGTAAGCATAAATATAGTCAATAGGTGTCAGTAAAGTCAAAGCTATTGCTGGGTAAACTGCTCATCTGATTCAAATGGTCAAGAATCTGAAAACATTTCAGCTTTCTGCTAAATGTGTGTTAAAAAGCTCATTAAAAAAATTTCCTGCTGGTTCACTCTATCCAGGTGGCCGTGAATGTGAAACAAACATCCCATGTGAGGTGAATACTCATTTATAGGCTCCACTCTCCACTGGGATTTTAAGTTCATGCTTTTTCATTTTTCTTTTTTTTTTTTTTTTTTTTTCCTAAACAGAGTCCTGGATCTTTGGAAGAACAAGACAGATTCAGAAAGGTACGACAGTTTCCTATCATTAAGCTAAAAAAATGTTTGATCAGACATTTTGCAGATAATTATTTTAAATTAAATTTTTCTAAAGATTCTTGAGGTTAATTTGCTTATTAAGAACCTTTCTTAAAGCTGTTTATTTTCTCCAGATTTTAAAAGAAAAATTATTACAGAGTTTTTATTCTTGAGCTATGGTTACTGCATCTCTAGAAGCTAAATATCCATCTCCTGGGAAGAGGTGGGGGGGAACTCAGTTTTTATACATCTACATGCTATATGAACTTAATTCATTTTTCAAAAGAGACTAAGGAAAAGCCCAGATCTCTCTCTAAAGGAGTTAGGGGGCCAAGTGCCTATAATAATTTTTAAAATGGAACTTCTAATTCTTTAGACACTTCTTAAAAAATTGTTTTGGATCATTCAGACCACCTTTTTTCTAATGCAGAAAACCAGAGAAAGTCAAGAGATTTGTCTAATGTTATTAGACTAATCCTTGTTCTAAGCAGCAGAATTCCTCCTGTGAAGGATTTTCTTTTGGAAGTGATGACATAAGGAACAGAAGCAGTACAGGAGACGATAAGGAGAAGCTTAAAGAAAACAAAATGCTGCCAGTTTCTTATTAAACCCGAGCAGCATTTCTGATTGCATTTTCATAAAGCCAGCGAGTTTTTCTGTTGACCTGAGCAGCGTTGAACTAAGTCTTTTCTCTCTGTCACAATTTGTTTTGTTTTTAGACACTTTTAGCTTCTACTTTGTACTGTCATCTTATTTTCCGTTTGTTTTCAGAAGGAATAAAATAAGGCATTATTTGCCCAACACAAAGTAGATGATTGGATGAATAACATGTTGCAGGAACATAATCACATAATTATCTCAAGCTAAATCAAACTCTTGATTTCTCCTGTTGCAACATCTCTTTAGAAGAGAACAATATTTAAAGGGTACAGTACAGTGCACTTCTAGTATGGCCAGAAATCAAGACATTCCTCACTCTGATGAGATATTCCTCTGGTACTCAAATCTGGAGTAACATCTCCAACATTTTTCCCCAACAAAATATTGACCAATTTAAGGTAGTTTTCACACATCCCTGGAATAGTTTTTGCTGCAGTTCAGCCTTCCTGAAAACCCCCAAGGAGTTTCTGTTCTTGCCTGTCTGGCTCAGCATTAATTGTTCAGTACTGTTGGTCATCCAGTAAGGTCACCAGAATTTTTCAGGCTGGAAAGACAATATGACATTTTAATACTTGGTGTAGAGGCAGACAAACATTTAGTAGTGCTGCTTTTCCCTATAAGAGACCTATCAGAAGATTGATCAAGGAATTCTCTGCATTTGGGTCAGGTTGTTTGTAGGGGAAAACAAAACAAAAGCTTTTTGCATAAGAACATCTCCACTGCACAATTAGATAGCATTTTTTAATTCCTCTGTCCCACCTCCCTCAGGGTAGGTGGTATGTATTGCTCCTTAACCTCTCTGAAGGAGACTAAAGTCTTCAGTCCATTTTCAAGGATACTGGAATAACATAATGGCAGGCAGCAAACATTTGTCAATTAGGCCTCCAACTAGAGCACAAAAAAAGCATTCTGTGAGTTTTTAATAGCTACTGAACACAAACAAAGCGAAACAACTCAGGGTGGGAAGGAAGGAACTGAAATACCTCATAAGCATGAAGGAAACGGCTCCCATTGCACCAACAAGTGATTTGCAGTTTCCCTTCAGCCAGTACAAATGTTGCAGTAACTTACACCTTGCTCACTTCAGTGTGATTTTGATTCAGTGTGATTTTACTTCAGAGCATTCATTCTGTATTTAAACAGTGTCACTACAATGAGAATCCAAGTGCTGTAAGCAGAGATGTCTTTTTCTCATTCAGGCTAAGGCTTTTATCAGCATGTGAGCCTGTGTTGCCATAAGATTGTGGAGCACCCCTTAAGAGAACCAGAAAATAATGTTGATCCCTTTTAGGTGCGTTGGGAGAACAGGAAAAGCAAACCAACTGCAGAATTCGTGGCTTTGCAGTTTATTTTAAATTCAGATTTAACACCTAAAGCGTGGCTAGAAATGAAAGAAAGATTAGGCAAAAGATTTTTGTATGTTTTGAATATCCTTTCGAAACCATGGTGAAGGAGACAAACTACCCTGAGAGAATAGCTGACCTCGGTAGTTAATATCTGCAGAAAGTGCACATGGTTGGGGGCTGTATCACTGTACTTGCAACATCCAGTGAGTCTGGATGCGATAGGATCAGGTTATCTCTTAATTTGTCAGCTCCCTCATGCTTTTGGGTCACACAAAATCATAAGAGGTGGCAGAATCTCAGCTATTTTTGGACTTGATCTCTGCTTTCTACAACACGAAGTCCCCAGTGACTCTGCTTGTCTCTCTTGTTTGAGCTGTGAATATTTTGCAACAGCAGCAGGTCAACTCGGAGAAGGGAAAGACCCAGCTGTGGCCAGTCTTGTTCCATTGCCTTCTGTTTTTATTCCATTTCTAGCCTGCATGTCCAAATGTTGGGCAGAATAGAGCCTGCTCCATGTATATTAATGTGGGGTTTTTTATGATCATTCATCCTTTGCTGAGGACATGCCCCTAGCCACTCATGCCCTTAGGAACAGTATGGGCTAATGTTTGCTTTGTGAGCGACTTCTTGATGATTAACAAAAAACAGTTGCAGGAAATTGCACTGGCTGCAGTGAATTTTTAGCAGGTGCCAGTGACAGGGCAATGTAGATGGATATTTCTGCAGGGCACCTAACACACCCAAGGACATAGTCAAGCAAATGCTCAATAATAACTATGATAAATGTTACTTTCAAAGGTTGGCTCCCAGCTACCTGAAAATATTCCATGACCATTCTTAGCATAAATAGGAAGTCAAAGGCTCATTATTTACAGGTCTAGGTAGCACTGTTTGATTTATTTTCTTGAGTGCTCAGAATAATTACACTTCCTTGCTAAACAAATTATTCTGGCTTTATTGTTTGTACAAACAAAATAATCAGGATTCATTACATCAGTGGTCAGCTAATTGCTTCCTTTGAGATTCTACTAAGAGTAATCTCCTATAACACACAGACAGAAGGAACGTGTAATTTAATCTTATTTAGAGACACCATTGATCTGGAGTCAATCAAATTAATGCAGTCATTCAGGAAACTGTGCAAAGCAAGAGCTGCCACAGCTTGCCAGGAAGAAAACAGTAATGCGTTCTGCTCTGCCCAAGTGCAGATATGATGGGAATTCTTAATGGCAGAAAGTTACATTACAGAAATGCACAGCATCATGTGTACATGTTTCTGTTAGTGGTGCCTCTCTATTGAAAGTACATGGCCCGTTTGTTTTCCTGAAGTCCTGCTGTGTGTTAGCTACTTGAAATGCCTGTACAATTACATTCTTAGTGAAATGGAAAAGACTCATTAAAAGGTATCTTTCCCTCAGTTTTCAATTTTTTTTCTATAGCTATAGAGAGTATCTCTCCATATTTTTTTCATCACTGTGCCGATAAGCCTGTGCCTACCTGCTTTAGGTGCCAATAACTCTCCTTCTAAAAGTAGTACAGCATCGTTCTTAAGTACAAAATATATTTATTGGGGTAAATTGTATTGCTTATGAGTATATTTAAAACTGGTGCAGTGTTTAACAGAATTGAATTCAGTTAAATTCAATGAGCAACTCAGCCCCCCACAGCTGCTTACTCACTCCCCCTGCAGTGAGATGTCAGGGAGAATGGGAAGGGTAAAAGTGAGAAAACTCATGGGTTGAGATAAAGGCAGTTTAATAAGTAAAAGAATTAATCAAAGAAAAACAAAACCAAGAAAAACATGCAGAAAAAAATCAAGAGCTCACCACCAGCCGATGGATACTGTGGTGGGTTGACCCTGGCTAGACACCAG